GCCGATGTGTCCCGTGATGTCTCCGTGTCCTCCGAAGTTAAAGTTGAGACAGTTGTGCTTGGCATGGAAACGGTGGTTGGCTCAGTGGTGGCCGATGTGTCCCATGATGTCTCTGTGTCAACCAGTGTTGAGGTGGAGACAGTTGTGATTGGCATGGACATGGTTGTTCGCTCAGTGGTGGCCGATGTGTCCCATGATGTCTCCGTGTCCCCCAGTGTCGAGGTGGAGACAGTTGTGCTTGGCATCGACACGGTGGTTGTCTCAGTGGTAGAAGATGTGTCCCATGATGTCTCCGTTTCCTCCAATGTCGATGTGGAGACAGTTGTGCTTGGTATGGACACGGTGGTTGTCTCAGTGGTGGCCGATGGTTCCCATGATGGCTTTGTGTCCCCCAATCTTGAGTTGGTGACAGTTGTGCTTGGCATGGACACGGTGATGGCTGGTGTAGTGCTGGCTGACGTCTTCCTTGATTGTTTGACATTCCCGGTGTTCCAGGTGGTGTTAGTTGTGCTTGGCGTGGACATAGTGCTTTTGGGCTTCATGGTGGTCCGCTTCATGGTGGTCGGCTGATTCATAAACTCCGTATTTTCTGTCCCCGTAATGGTGGTTGGCTCAGTGGTGGCCCTTGTGTCTGTTAATGAAGAATTTTTTTTCTTTTTCACCATCACCTCTGGGGTATGAGGAGTCCAATACCACATCTTGGGTGAAGCTGAACTCTCCCTGTCTGGTTGCCCTTTGTCCCCTGGTGCATGCTGGTCAGCATCATCTACTCAGAATAGGTCAGAAGACTGGCAGATCAGAAGGTCCTTTGAATCTTCACCCCCCGCTCTGACAGCTACATGTACTCGGGGTCCTCGTATGGGTTGTCCACCCCCCATGCCAGGACAGGCTTTGACAGTCTCCTGTCCTCCTTGATGGGTCCCCTCCCGCTATCTCCTACAAGTTAAGCACCTGCCCTTAACCCCCAAACACCCACATCCACTGTAGACCAACAACCCCAAAGCAACTACAACCCCCCCCGCCAGACCTTCCAAGACCCCCCACTGGGTCCCACAAACCTGTGGACCCCCTAAGACCCACGTACACCATAGACCAACATCCCCCCAAAGACCTGCCCTCACTTCTCCAAAGATGCTCCCAAGACCCCCAGGTGGGTCCCACAAACCTGTGGACCTCCCAAGACCCACGTCCACAGAAGGCCAACATCACCTCTGAAACCCGCCCTCACTTCTCCAAAGATGCCCCCAAGGCTCCCAAGACCCCCAGGTGGGTCCCAAAGACCAATGGAACCCCCTCAGAGACCCACGGACCCCCAAAGACCCCAATTCTTGCTCCTTTGATGCCAAAACCAGACCTGCAGCATGGGGGTCCTTGGAGGAACAATGGTCCCACCCCGGTCCCA